TTGAAGTGTTGAAAGAAAAAAGCCATAGCGCTGCGCTGGCGTAGATACTCACAGTGGTCTGCTGACACTGAAGCCTCTTCCTGAGCAGGTGTGCGCATTAATACACCATAAATTGGGCTTCTTTAAGATCCCGACAAGACTAGGATGTCTAGTCATTACATTCATGGACAGAGACACATGCTGATCCACACTTTGTTCTTCTCTCTTTGTGTCTCAGGAATCAGTCTTTAATGAGACTTGGATTTTCGGTTCTTGCTTTAAAAATGGTACTTAAAAAGGGACTGAGGAGTGTTTTTTTACTGCTTTTTATTGCATTTAAAAAGCATTTTTTTTTTACAATTAGTTACTTTTTCATTTCAATTCAATAATTACTTCAAGTACAATTTGAGTGACAACCCAGATGTTGAATATAAATTTAATACAATATTTTTACTGGTAACCTAGGTTTTCTTTCCCTTGGAAACTGTATATACGTTTTAAAGACTCGTATTATCTTTGTATTGAGTGAAATATAAAATATATATATATATATATATATATATATATATATATATATATATATATATATATATATATATATATATATATATATATATATATATATATATAAAAGCCTCGTAATTCTACATATAAGCACTCTGAGCAGAACTCTGTACAAACACAATGAGATCTCCAGCTACAGTTTCCACATGATCACAATATATGACCATTTCCCCCATTTGCCTCACAACTGTGGCAAGCTCTTATTAATAGTAATGTAATTTGAAAACATTATGCAGGAAATGAAAATAAATAAGGCTTTGGAAGCCACTATAAAGCCATCAAGATGGTGGAAAAACAAACCAAAAACTTAACTATTAGATTGTCTATAGAGGGTGTGCATTGATTTCACTTACCCAGCGGGACATGTCTCCTTCACTGAGATGGAACAGGTGAAAAGTGGCTGGGGTTAATACTGAAAAGAGCAGAACCCAGAGTTATTCTAATTTCTACATGTTTAAGTCAAAAAGAGTTAGACTCGACTTCGCTGCAGACTCTCGGCTAAATAGGAGACATTTCATTTATAAAACACATACTGCAATGACAATTATGATAAATATGAAATTTTGAGCATGTTTCAGCCATTGGCTTCAGCTGCTATATTCCATTTTTTCTTCGATCTACAGCAAAATTTTGTTTTTTCTTGAAGATTTTGAAAATTGGTTTAAGCAGCTTTTGCATTTACTCAAACTACTGCTAGAATTAACTGTCACCCATTATGAGCAAACCTCCCATCAAGACTCTGAGCTAAGTCCTCCTTTAAGTCATTTCCCTTTTTTATGTTTAATAATCCAATCAGTCTGCTCTGGTTCATTTTTCAAAATAACAGTAGACTTGTTGACGCAGCTTGTACATACTTGATGGTTCATGAGTGTTTGTATGACCTTTAGAGTTAGATCTAAACCTGAAGTCAAACCGTACTCAAGCATAAACTTTAAAAAATACGGTCCCCTTTGCTAATTCAACTAGATCAAAATGTATACTCATTGAGACTTTCCCATGTTTTGTAAATGAAACTCCTTGATCAAACACACAATAAAGGATATGCCACCTAAATTAATGATATTGCTATTTGGTATATATTCTGTAAAACTAGTAGAAATTATTTGCCAATCAACAGACATGCTTTTCTCTATCAAATATTAGTTTCCGTTTCCATCTTTCTTACAAACGGATGTTCTTTTAGTTGTCTTTTAACTTCACAAGTGTTCCTTCAACAGCGAGTTTTGTCGAGACTTGAAGATTTTCTCATGGGAAAATAATGCTAAACAAACAAACAGTTGGTGTATCTTTAACCTGAACCATTGCTCCACAGAGTAAAATTTTCGGAGCATTATTACGATTCATATTCTATCCGTAGCATGTCAAAATGTTCTTGGCAGTATTGTGGTGGTAACGAGGGCTGGAAGAAGTGCAAAATAAATAAATAACCAAACCCAATCCACCTCAGATTTGACATATGCACTATAAAATAACCATTAGCAGTTAGCTACAATCTGAAGTGACAGTCTATCAATAATGTCCGTCTGAAAATGGGACAGGTTTGTTGCTGCCTCTAAATCATCAGAGAGTCCATGGAGCTGAGACACAGGCAGGTATAGAAAATGCATTAAGGCGAGATGTTGATGGGGCTGGTGTGAGCATGGGGACACTTAAAGCTCCAGGGGATGTGACTGTAGCATGCCCTGCTCTGGAACACACACACACTTACACGCTGGAGTAATAGCTCACCATTCCAGCTCATCACCCTGTACCTTCAGACCCTGTAAATCAGAGCGTGATGAAGGTGATGATGTTGTCGGAAGTCTGTGCTGGATTTTATGTGAAAAATTTTCATTTGAGTTGATTCTTTAGCTCCGAAGGTTAATCAAAAACGAATGTGCATTTGCTGCCAAGTCGCTCAATTTCAGCCATGTAAAGGTTAATTGCCAGCTTTTTAATTAAATACAATTGCCTGCAAGTAAAATTACTTAATTGTATTGAAAGTACGTTCGTGTCTGTTTTGATATTATCACTATTTAAAGTTCTCGTGAATAATACAATCTTTTCTCTGCTGACCTGTGGTTAATTGAGCTTTAATTAGTCAACACATGCAAATTCTCTGATTATTCTGTAGCCTACAAGAGTTTTGGTTCCAACAGAGGAATCACCAAATTTGATTCTGTGTATCATTTATTAAGAAAATTCACAAAATTAAGAAAACGAATTTGTATTAGGATTTTTCATTCCCCAACAATTTGTTTTTTCAATATTTGATTTTGCGTTTGGAATGGAACGCTGCTTTTCATTTTCATTTTTTCCTTTTGGAACTGCTAAATGTGATTATTGATTTTCCAAAAAATGGAAAATGAAAAAACTGATAACACGATCAAAAATAAATACAGGTTTTAAAAAAAAGTAAAATACATTACATTTACATTTATGCATTTAGCAGATGCTTTTATCCAAAGCAACTTACGTTTGAAAGAATAAACACGTGACCTCTGCCAACTGAGCCACAGGAAAGCATTTTTCTTTATTTTATTATTTCAACATACATATTTTTAATTTTTTTTTGTTTTTCATTCTTAAGTATTAAAACAAAATAAGGAAAAATAAAACTAAGAAAAACTTTTGTGGTCAGCATCTACAAAGGTCAACAGTAGGGCCAACTGGGTATGAGCACATGAACAATCAACAAATTTACCTGATTTTCAAGCAAAGGTTTGACTGAAACCTAGTATAAAATCACCAGATCCATTACATCGTCGCATATTGCATAGCTGTGAAATCAAAATGTCTATTTCTAGGCCAATATTTTAAAATATTATAATAATATATATTTTTTCCAAATAGAAAAAAAATAGTTTAAGTTTCCGAATAGTTTTAAGTATATATCTGAAAAATCTCTCTTTTTTCCCAGTTTTAAGTTTGAAACCATAAATGGAAGATAGCGGAAGATATCCTGATTTGACGTGAACTAATTTTTGCCTTTTTATTTTTACATTGAAAATGAATGGTACAAGAAATTAATTTGATACTGTTGGTTAACATTGAAAAAAAGGCATAATAAACTATTAATATGATAATAACTAGATAATTAACATCTGTTTCATTCTAAGACATTTTAAAATCACAGCGGCTCTTGATGGACCACAGTTTCTTGCAAAACAATGATTTATTTTTTACATTTTCTATACTTTACAATAGATCATAAATGTAAAATATTCAATTGTTATCTGATACTGAACAAAAATGGTTATAATAATTAAGGGCTTTGAAAAAAAAACACAAAAGCTATCCCTTCTGCATTTATTTTGTAGCCTAATTCCGACCCTTTATGCTCACAACAGCTCTCCATCCATACACACAAACACCCACTTAACTCCATCACCTCCTCCCTTGCTCGTATTAGCATAAATTAGCCTACGCTGTGCATATGAATGGGCTCCATTCATGAATGAAGTGAATGTAGACTCCGGGTGAATCCCAGCGCCACGTGCCTTTTCTCTCCCGCTGGTATTAAAGTGGCAGCATCTGATTGTCTGCTTGCCAGCGGAGCCTTGCCATCTGCCACCGTGCCGGTCTGCTTGGCACAACAGCCTGCCGTTGTGGCAACAAGTGTCTTTCCCCTGCATTGCCATACTCACCAGCTATGAAAACTTGGCAGCCAGCCTGCCCGATTGCCCGCCCTCATATGCAGATAAAGAGCCTATTATGCCCAGGCGGTGGGCGGAGGGAGGAGGAGGCGGTGTTGCTGATTTACATATCACCGTAGAGTTGACACCCTCCAGATGCAAAGCAGCCCAGTATAATTAAGGCTGTTTAGTGCTTTTGTTTAGTGTGCTGGAGTGGGGATGGCAGGCGGGCATTGCTCAGTCATCTCTAGAGGGGTCGAGTATGAGAATGTTAGCCTGGCACGTGTCTCCCTCACCCTCCTCCCCCTTTTCTGTCTCGGCACACGTCCGACTTGAACATGCATCTAATCGTCGCTAGGTGGTCTGTTGATTTACACCTGGCACAGAGAGATGCTGCTAGGCTTTGGCCAGTGATTATACAAATACACGCATGATGCTCACTGATAGGAGATGGGAATTGTTTAAGGATCGTCCACTAGCACTGGTTCTAGTTAAAAAGTATATGAAACTTTTGGGATTTCATGTTTTCTGAATAGATGTGATCTGAACTTCATCTAACTCAAGGCTATTGAGAAACTAATAACACCAAAAGTATGATCTTTCATGCTTTTAGGGAGAACAGCAAATAAGAAAATTTATCGTTTAGGTAAAAAATCGTTAGAATAAATAACTGATTGATGAAGCATAGCAGGCCCAAATCATGATGTTTCCTCCACCATGCTTTACAGTGTTATGAGACACCTACTTTATATGCCAAATGTAGCATTGTGTTCTGCGCTCACATTTTCACATTGATCGGGATGTGATGTGGGTAAGAACCTGGACAAGTGTAGACCGGAACGTCTGTGTAAGTACATTTCGAACCCACAACCTTTGCATTCTTAGAGCAATGCTCTACCAACTGAGCCACAGGAAAGCTTTGACTCACATTAAATTATTGTTTTAATAACAAAATAGAGAACTAATGTTTGTGAACAAACTTTTATGTTTGCTTGTAAAGGTTTGGCTTTAAACGCTTCTAAGCAAAATGGAATGGTTGCCATGGTCCAATTTTTTGGTTGCTTTGGAGGAGTTCGTGTTAACACGCAAAGTTCCCAATGCTAATATGGGTAATATAAACCAAGTCAAGTCAAGAAGCTTTTATTGTCATTTCAAGCATATAAGCTGATGCAGTACATAGTGAAATGAAACAACGTTTCTCCAAAACCGCTGGTGCTACATAAAACAACATACAACACGACAGAGAACAAAGGACTAACTTATATACATAAGTACATCGTGTGCAACCTAGTGCAAACAGTGCAGAACAATACAGTGCAAAAAACAGACAAGACAGTGCAGGACAAGATACACAACAAAAAAGATAACACCGACTAGCAACCTAAAATAACCTAAACATAACCTAAACTGTAAACAGGGGTGTACAGTTATATCTCTATGATTTTCCTTACAGATCGTGAGTTGCCAAATTGGTTGCTATGGTAAACAGTCAGGTTGCTATGGCAGGGTATAATATAATGTTTCCTTTTACATTATAAGTAATTGAAACCAACTCCCAGATCTCTATCATTTACCAAAGCTGAGTTCAGAAAATTTGGTTGCTAGGGTAAACAGTTTGGTTGCTAGGGAGCTTTTAGTGATGCCATAAAATGTGCAGAGTTTCTATGGGGTTCCAAGTTTGAGTTACAGTTTAACAAGGGTTCACCCCATGTTAAACCAATGAAAAAATTACCAGGTTTTTAAATTATTTCCCGGAATTCCTTCAGTGGGACCAGTCTGAAAAGATACCAGAGTCAGACCTGTTTGGGTGTCTTGGCAAAGTTTAGTGGCTGTTGTTCAAAACAGACTTTTGTGATGTCATTTAGAGAATCACTCTTGGAATCATTTAAAATCACTGGTTTACCATTTATCCAGTGAAGGCTGGATTGAAGGGGCCACTTGGAGATGGTAATTATAAGTATAACAGTATAAACTTCTACATTTTTAAAATAATTTCTGCATTTCTCTTTTTTTACAGCCCTGGTCCTCTTCGAAAGCTATTTTTAAAGCTATTTTATTTTTCTATTTTACTTAAAGGTCCAAGGTGGGTGCATGTGCTTACTAACAGTTTTGGCACGGTCTAAACTAAAGCAGCTTCAGTTTACCTCCTGAAAACTCCCTCGAGAAAAGCAAAGAAACAGAGGTAGACACAGACACTCCCAACTACACCCACCTTGCAGTGTTGATTGTTGGGTGAATGGTGAATAAGGCTACACTTTGTTGACCGAGGCAGTTTTAATAAGGGCATGCAGTTTGTGTTTCAATGGCAAAAATGTCAGAAGAAAAAATAGAATATTGTATTTAGCATTGCTGTTTTAATCCTATAGGCTATGTTTCTATGTTTCATAGGTTACCAGTTTTCTCCCGATAGTCTAGCTGCTCATGCAGACTATATGAGTGAGTGCATAGCACCACTGATATATTGTATCCGTGTCCATCAGTTGAGAGTTTTAGTTTGGCCATTGTTTTACTGAATTGTTCTTTCTTCTCTCTAAATGCATTAATAAAATGCATTCCTTTGTCTGTTCAAGAGCTTCCTCGGCAGCAGTATAGAAAAACACTTACTGCTAATGCAAACACCAGTGCAGTATAAATCAGTGGCCAGGAGCGGGCAGCCAAATATTGTGTAATAGTTATTGCGAAATGAAGTGGCGTTGGGATCAATACCCCACTATATCTCACTCTGCTCTGGTGGGCCACTGGAGTCAGGGGTCCTCTCTGCTGCCTCCATGGGGCTTCATAAATCTGTCACCTGGTCTGATGTGTGTATGAGTCTGTGCGACCTTATAAAAAGAGCCAGTAATTAGTACAGTGGCCCAAAACTTGCAAAGTTGTCATTTTTAAACTTGTCATTTCTATTTAATTGTTCCAAATGAAGCTTTACATAGTTCTCCCAATATCAATGCCCTTTTATTTTTTTCATATCCTAAATTGAGCTGATTAGTTTGTAACTGCTTACATGCACAGTAAACATATTTCTAATGGAGATATGAATTGATGCTTTAAATGATTGACACACTTTGTATTTTCAAGTTAGCAGTTCCATATGAAAATGAAAATCTGCTGGTCAGATTATCAGTAAAAACAGTTCATGCACTTTTCTATGTTTTCTATGTTATTAATTGGTAATTAATTGGAACTTAATTGGTTACACCTGTGGAAAGCTCTGATAACCCATGCAGAAACTCGTTGTACAAACGTCACGTAATATCAATTTTGTCGATGCTCTTTTAAAGATGGAACTATCATGTAGTGAGTTGTACTACTTTCTCTTTTGAAGTCTAATGTCTTGTCTGCTGGCTTGAACTGGTTTTATTTTGGCCCTGGGGGCAAAACCTTTTGGACTGGTAGGAAAGTATTGCAGTAAAAACTTTGATGGGTCCATCATGTGGAGATTAACGACCTCTGAGTTTTCTTTGAGTTGGCTGATTGAAGTGGATGAGGAAAATTGAATTTCAAATTTTATTGAAGGATGCTTGATTTTGATTATTTTTTTGTGTGTCTTCAGGTTTGCGAGAAAACAAGGAAAGGGATTTTTGGCAGCTTCACCGACTTGGTGAGTCTGATTACAAAAACATCCCAAGAAAGTGTTGGGATTACGCATCGGTCACTGAAACATGAGAAAATATTAATGGAATTTAATATAGAAACTATGAGTAATCTAACAAATTCTTTAAAAAAATCATATGTTGAATAATAACAATGGAAAATGGACATATAAATATGTTTGGTTATTAATTTTGACATACTTCAGGGGCCAGTCCTTCAATTCTACTCATTTAAAGACCAGTCTGGAAAAATTCTTGATCCAGGCTTAACCAAATGTACTTCACAGCCCACCGTCATAAAATATACCATAAAATTGCCCACGGCACCAATATATTTTTATCTAATGACATATTTGGCTCCACCCTAAATCATACATGGAGCCAAATTACGGAGCTCTGTTCCTATGATGCTTTGCAAGTCTTTTGCCACCTACTCTGTGTGTGGCAGCTTCCTTCTTCCTGTCTTGTTAGCATCCTAGTTTTGTTCATTTTAAAGGTGTTTTGTTCATTTTAAAGGTGTTCTCTACTCTGCCACTTTAAATTCGCAAACCACCCCAATACTTGCTGTACATCCTGGCTAGATTGTGACAATCTTCAAACAGAGCAAAAAGAGCATCCTAAAAGATTTCATTTTGGGGAAACATTAGAAGGTACCTCCAAGTGAATCTGCAAGTAAATAATCAATCAATTAAAAAATCAATAAGTTTTTCCTAAAATGGAACAACACTCCTATTGAAAAAGCAAAAATATGTTTATGATATGCAATAATCTACAGTAGATATCTGTAGAAATCTTTTTTTCTTTAAAGCTAAGATGTTGATTTAATTAAAATGTACTAAATGCAGCTCTGATTTTTAGTGCTTTCTGTTAAAAATCCCACTGTTTTAATTGCAAATGAGTCAATAAAAAATATCATCAGCCACCTTTCGTCAAATATTTAAAGGCACGTTCATTTTAAAAAAATTGCCTGTGTACATTATGTGGTCTGCCTAATCAACACAAATGAAGTGGGCTCTGATTATTTATTTACTATTTTACTGATTATTCCTCTCAAGTGCAGTTTTATGACTCTGAAGTGTGAGACTTATAAAGCAACAGGCCTGTGCTTTCAAAGGGGTGCCAGATGGAATTAAAAAGGGTTTTGTCAACATGTTTTCCAGCAAACCGCACGTGCACATACCCATTTCCTTTTGCGGATCAACGTTGGTCCACGATGCCCGCATGCCTGTTCTACACTCTACACTCTTGCAATCCATATCTGCATTTACATTGGCATGCATGAGTAAATAAGCCATCTTTATTGGCATATGTTTTTCCTTTCTAAAAGCAACCTGCATATGATTATATCCGTTATACAGCTGTTATATTGCCAGTATCATGTTTCACTGGAGTGGAGAACTCGAGTATAGCTACTGAGCTAAAACCGTAATATGAAAGTTTTAGCTAAAAAAAGGAAAGATTTTTGTTTGTGCTTTGTAGACCAATCAACATTAGCCTTTCTGAATGTAGAATGGTCCTGTACTTGGTTGTTCAGCAAAGGATTATCATTGATGACTAACCTTAAACTCTGAGCTTGAATGTCTGAGGTTGATATCGTCATCTAGATTGTGAAGCCCAAATTTGTTTGCCCAGACTGGAGCCTTTGGCGATCAGCTTTGAATCGTGTCAGTGGGTGTGAGTGTCCTGGGGGTTAGAGTTCAAGAGCTTTGACCTACATCATGAAGGATGCATGATAAAGCATAAGGAGTTTTAATGCACTCACCAAAGAGTGGACACTACGTCCTCTTATTGATCCACTCACTTATCAGAGTATCAGCCAATCAGCAGTAAGGGACGTGGCTGTGGTGTATGTGTGTTGCAGAACTATCGAATACACGAAAACAAAAATCACACACTGGATTCAAAATAGGCAAATAAAGTTTTTTTGTTGTTATCAAAGCCATTTTGGCTAAGTAGTGGACTATGTCAGATCTTTGCTCAATGTTCAGGGTTAGGCCATTCAGTTTGAGGGATGGTAGTTCCAGCTCTTCTGACCTGGACCAGCCCAAAGTGTGTTGTGTTGGTTGTTTCAATGGCATCACCCTTTTTTTCAGTGCCAGTTGCTTTCTTAAATTCAGGCTCTAGGAAATTCTTCACACTATATGTTAATTAATGGATATGACTAAATATTCTATACATCCATTTCTCATTTGTTTAATGTTTTTTATAACTAAGCAATCATGTTAATTTTGTATGCATCTACTTAATTAAGTTTTACTCTTTTTTTTTTTTAATTAAACATTGAATTCACCCCTTTCATTCTATCAGGCACGGGCCACAAACATGCAAC